ACAAAGAGGTGTGACCGTGGTTTTGAAATCTTACTATAACCTTTCACACCGAAAGTTCATGTACACAACCACTGGTAATTCTCCCTAGTTTTACAGAAAAAAACAAAGGAATACAACACACACACACACACACACACACACACCCCAGAGAATGAAAATGCTGAACATCAATAACTCAAAAGAAAAAAGAAAAAAAAGGGAAGGACCGTGACTAGAGCTCTATCCAGAGATTGTGATTAACTTCAGATTTTTAGTTAAGCATATATGTTAAATATTTAACAACAGCACTAGAAAAAGAGAATAGACTTCTATTGACTTAAAAGTCAATAGAAGGAAGCAAAAATAAATCAACTGATTGAATTATAACATGTTACCTAACTTCAACTTGGTCTTTACATTGCTAGCAATTCTTACTTTCATCTGCTTAAGCTATCACATTTCTTTCAGTCACAATTCCCAACTTTTTCAGCCAGAGCTCCTCCTACAATATCCTCATGCTATAAAATAATATTCCCTACCACATTACTAAGAAATTTGAAGCTATTGTATAATCCTCATCTGGCCTAAGTTAATAGTAACAGTCTTGCTCCAACAATTGAAGCTCTTGTCGCTCTATATTGATAGGGTAGCCTCATTTACCTCCTACAAATGTGCTCAGTTCTGTTTCATCCTAAAATATCCTCCTCTCAACTCTGCTACCCCTTTTTAAGTTAAGGCCTTCCTGGTTTCTGATTCTGAATTATATATAATCCATAGTCATAAAGGGTAGAAAACTTAGCTTCTGTTTTCATCCTATATTCTTTTTTCCAAAATGATATTAAAAACTGACTCAGGGTAGGCATGATCACAGTAGGTCCCATAAAGCAAAGACTGGGTATAATTAATTTTCTTCATATACCATCATGAGCAAGTAGACACAGAATAAATATTTTAGGTCTTTTTTATATATTTACTATTGCTTTCTTACATTTGTGAGGGTTAAATAATTGTGACAATTTGATCTATGCTCAAGTCTGAGGGGCACTTACCTTTTTTAAGTTTCCGGACAGCCAACATACAATGACTAGGAGAGAGATCCCATATTCTTAAGGTCTTATCATCACTTACAGTAGCACAGATGGGCAGATAAGGATGGGTAGCCAAACCCCACACCTCTCCTTCCATGTGTCCCTGTAAATAAAACATAGTTAAGATCAATTTAACTTAAAGATACTTGTATTTAGAAGAAAACTAAAGACAACATTCAATAATATATAATAATGATAGGGTAATGAATAACAGATAAATCTAATAAAACTTTTATCTTTGGAATACACCTTAAAATAACTTCGTAACAGTTTTATCTCCACAGTTACAATATAATCAAGTTGCTGCTGAAAATTAGCTTCAAAATCCTACAACATTTAATGTGGAGAAAATAAGAATTGGCTGCCCTGGAATGCTAATAATTGCCATACAGGAGGGACTTCCTGCATGACAGAGCAAGGGAGTACTGCAGACCTGTGCACCAGTGAAACTGGTAGAAATTAATAAAAAAAAAAATTAAGTCTCTGGAAATGGTTTCGAGGAAATAGAACAAATGAAGAAACATTTACTCAAGAAAATCTGCTAAAATTCAGTAAGACCAGTGAGTTTGCTGTATTTGAACCGAGACACCCCTTTTCTCCCTCTTCCCCACTCACTGACATGAAAACTCCATACCAGATTGATGTAACCAAGAACAAGGGCTGTCTCTCTCCCCAGCCACTAGGGGAGCTTTCTTCCCAGAAGGGGCAGGGGTCAGCATTTCTCATCCAGCCCCCAGCTGCCTGCTATTGAGGCTAAATTCTTGGTGATTGCTGCTGAGAGGTGGGAGCTCCCTCCTTCTATCCACCCCCTATTCTGAGATGGAGGCTCTATCTTAGGTGCAGTGGCCAGTAAGAATACTGGGGCCTCAATGTCAACTCAAGAAGACCTGAGGCTACTTGCTCCCTCCCCACCAACTGAGCACTGAGATCTAAAGCAAGGGACACTCGGAAAAAGGAAGCATTCCACTGTTTTCACCCTCAACTACAGAGCCCTGGATCAGAAATTTTTCCGGGAGAGAGAGAGAAGCAAGCCATAAAACAGCTCCTAGCCTCTTCTCAAAGCAACTGACTTCATTTACTACAATGTGGAAAAGTTGAAGCCTAAAGGTGCTCTTGAAAACAATGGAGGTTGTGATGAAAGTTAATTGGGAGGCAACTGAAAGACTCACTGGACATGGCTAAAATGAAGGCCAGCTAGTCTGTCTAGGAAAAACAGGAAAATCTCATTAGACAACGGGAAGAGACTGCTTGACTTCAGAACAAATCTCAAACAGTAACCTAGGGAACTGTCCCTTTTAAGAAGCCTGAATTTGATTGGTTTAGCCTGTGAAGGAATTTATTCTCCAGGAAAATGTTGGAAACAATAGAGTAATCAGTGAGCAATTAATAGAGTTTAACAGCTGGATGTGGTTAGGGAAAGAGGGCATCAAAGAGGG